CCCCCCAGCCTCTGCACCCCTCCACTCCTCCTGCTGCCAGGGGTCCCACAAAGTGCGGCCCATATGGCACATCCCATCCTCTGCCATCCAGCATCTCATGCAGCATCTGGTGTGGCATATCCCACCCTGTGCAGAATGTCCTGCTGGGCACATCCCATCCTGTTGCAGCCTGATGTCCCATGCTGTGCACCCCGTGTGGCATGTTGCCTCCTGCCACAGGCAGACCTGGCACCCAGGCATGGCTGGGCTTGCAGCATGCCAGATCTCTGGAGGTGGAGCCCTGCCTGCCTGCCACAGGCCCCATGGCTCTCTCCAGGCTGCTAAACATAGGCCAGGCCAGCCCTGGCGAGGCGCTGAATGGAGCAGGCTCAGCCTTATCAACCCAGCGTGTCATCGGAGGGTATTTTTGGGGATAGCAGCTGCAGGCATTTGTAACGTTTGTTCTCTGTGCACTGACACCCAGGAGCGGAGCTGGGGGAAGCGGCAGGAGCTGGTGTCGGCACTGGGAGACGGGAGAGAGGCTGCGGAGTGAGGTGTGTGAGTGGGGCAGGGGGCTATGGGGCTGCATGGGGCAGGGCAATCAGGGAACAGAGTAGTTGGAAGAGCAGTAGGGTGGCTGAGCGGTTGAGTCCGTGTGTGTTTGCAGGAACAGCCGTGGAGTGGCCTGTGGGTCTGGGGAGTGTGTAGCCAGGTAGGTGGCTCTGAATGGCTGCAGCATCCCAGGGGTGAGGGTCTGGGAGGAGAATCTGGCCCTGATTCTTGCCACTCCTTAGGGACTAGCCCTCTTCCACAGCCCTCTCTGGCTCTCTGTTATTGTTTCTCTTCCTCCTGCCCGAGGTAGGCAGAGATGCCTCTGCCCCAGCCCCCCCATGGTGTCAGCTGAAGCTGGTATGTGCTTGCTCAGGGGAGGCACAGAGCATCCTGCCCACCTCCAGCCCACGATGATGGGCATGGTGGCTACCCACAACACTGGGGATGGAGGCAGTGCCCTCCAAAAGCAGTACCTCTTCCCTCCCAAGACCTCTCTCTGCTCCCTGGGGCTTGAACGACTACTTCCAGCCGTGGCTTTCAATACCCATGGGCTGTATCCTGTCTGTGGGACCACACTCTGGAGGGAGACCTGCTTCCCACTGGTCCCTGTGGGGGATTGCCGAGAACAGGGGGGTCCTCTGTCCCTCCGACCCCTGGAGGGAGCACCCGGATCTGGCTGACTGCCTCCTGCCCGCGACAGCCCCATGTCAGCACCTGCCTGCTGAGCCAGCCCAGATGCTGCAGGCATGCGGCTCT